ATTGACGACGTTATTACAAAATGCTTATCAACAATCGGAAATCTGTAAACACAACCATAAAAAATGACAGATTTTTTGCAAAATATTTCAAGTTGCTAATTTGCGTGTAATCATACTGAAAAATACCTTTATCTAAGTATACAGTTAGTTTTTTAACTGTATAATATTTATAGCAAGTATAATTTATAAGTAATTTATCACAATCAGACAGTTAACACGTATATAACTTTATATGCGTTATTATTGAGAAATTATGTTCAGTATGTACGCGAGAGGAGGGACATAAATGTATAAAGGATAACCATCGACACAGATACATACATATCGTATATGGGTGACTTTTCCATTAGTATTGTACGCCTGACATTATTATGTATAAACATGGGACACCCGTATAATTATATATAAATACCTATACAGTTAAAAACGTATTGTGCACTGTAGATAAAGATATTTCAATTCAATTAGACTGAACATAGCAATCTTCAAATAGTATAGTATTCTTTTTTGATGGTTGTGTTTATGAAGACTTTTGATCACAGGCATTTCATAAACTACAAAATATCACAGTTGCAGTCAATTTTATTGAAATTATTTTTTTTTTATACAATTAGTGTTTGAAACCTGTGAACAATATTATTTATTGCATATTTATTTTATTTGTCGATAATTTTGAAAATGGAGAGAGAGAAATTTCCAACAAATCTTTAACGCGCCGTAGTTAAAGAATTAAATCGCAGAATCGCGAATAAATTCCTTTGCAATTCAAGTTCCATTTGCAACTTTTTTTTTATTCGTCAGCATATCTATGCAAGGGTATCGTGTGTAACAGCGCCAATCTCGATCTTTCTCCCCTCGTCGATTCCCTCTTATCAAACGAGGAACGCTCATTCACGCCTTTCCCTTTAATGAAACGGACCCTCGACCGTCCGTTTCTCCTTGCCTCCCTTCTTCCGCGGCGGAAACGTTTTCCACTTGTTTCCACCGCGGCCGGCAGGCCGGACGCGTGCGCGTGTTCTTCCTCGTTACATACGTCTGCACGCACGCACGCATGCACGCGAGTACATGCGCATGTCGCGTGGGCGTGCATTCTCGACTTGCGTGTGTGCGGTGCGGTTACGACACGGCGGTTCCGTTGCATGCCGGAACGTGAGGTTAAAGAAACGCCTCGCGCGAACAGGTTCCCTTCCTTTTCCACGATGCCGACCGCCGAAGGGAGTAGTGAGTTTCATCAGCACAGCGCGACGACACAGTCAGAAATTGACAATGGACCGCGTTCTCATCGCGCCTTTAAACGATAAACGTGAATCTCCAGGAAACGATACAAGTGAATTTCAAATACGCGAATACGAGGATCTTAGAAAAGAAAGCTACTTTGAAATTTATTCTTAAAATTTTTAATCCTGGATTTGTATTAGAATTTCTTGTTATATTAAAAAGTGACTATGTATAACATGTAATTACACGGAAAGATTTTGTTGAAGTATGTAAAAATTTAGCTAGATCTGAAAATAATTTTTTTGACCATCAAAATAATTATGCAGAAAACTCAAGCATGATGAACAATGCTGCGAAAAGTTTTGACATTCAAACATCAGCTTGAGCCACCTAAATATTTTGATAGTAGGTACTACAATATTCTTTTCAGATCTGTATTTAGTCAAATACTTTGATAAATTTTTTCTTTCTTTGTATATTTTACATTGGAGTATATTTAAAAATATGAATTGAGCAATAAAATATCTAAAAATTTAGTTAAATATAGTTAAAAGCTAAAAATAATTTTGTTAGTTATCAAAGTAATTAATGTATAGAACATAATGAACAATGCTGCAAGTAGTTTTGACATTCTAGCAACCAGCTTAGGTTTACATAATTATTTTGATGATTTAATAAAATTATTTTCACAGATTTGTATCTAGCTAAATTTGTAGATACTTTAGCAAAATCGTTCCTTCTGTATAAAAATTGCCACGTACGAAATATGTCTGGTTTTATTAGGAAAAAAGAGAGTCTATAAAGTGCGAAAGTTTCCCAATTCAACGAGTTTCCTATAAAATTGCAAGTATTTTTCGTCGTCGCTGAATATAAATGTTTAAATGGAGATAAGATACACAGAGCGGGTTCTCCGGTTGTAGGATTCTGCGTCGATAGAACGATACTTCATAGAATTTTTTCATAGAATATACGCTTCTCGTTACCGACGAGCGCCGCGCTTTGATAAATCGTCCGTATTTGCCATTAGTCGTCGTTTCCGTCTCGATGAAAAATGTGGCTTGCGCGCTAATAAACAATACACCAACGTCGAATGCGGCGCGGCCGTTCTAAAATTGTGAACGTTCCCACGAAGCCGAGTAATTTGTACCGTTCGAGACGCGATCGTTAAACTCTTTCGTGTGGCGATTTAGCAGGTTTCTTGCTGGCAAGCAGCGAACTCTACCAACCGGTCAGGAGTCGTCAAAGACTTAGATGTTCGTGTAATTCGAATCAAACCGTAGTTATTATTAACTCCTTGAGACAACAACAGTTGCACGGTTACTCACGTAATTGATGAAATGCTTTACAAATTCAATACTTTTTTTTCATGCTGAGAAGGAAAAGATGTAAAAACTGGAACAGATATAAAACATAGAGATTTGTGAGATTTATTTACGATGTTTAATATGATTTGTATAGCTTTATTATCAGGACGTAATTAATGCGAGTAGATTGTTACAAAGTTGAAAATAAGGGAAACGTCAGGAAAATCTTACAAAATTCTCTGTCAGGTCATTTTGCAAAATTTTTTTGGTATATACATATAAAATATAAAAAATACTTTGTAAATAAAGTTAATAATTTTTTTTAATTTCTAAAGCACTTGTAATTTATTTCATAAATCATTGTTATCTTTCTTGACAAGTTTCTATAATATTAATATAAATAACATGACAAAGGGCTTTAAGGCGAGTCAAGCAGTAAATTAGAATGAATTAGATTTCAAAGTACAATAGAATATCTTACGCTGCTGTATCAGCTGTGAAGATTTTGGTGTTGCGAGCTTTTGTTCTCAAAGTTGTAGTGCTTCAACTAAGTGAGTTTTCCTTCTCCGGTCGTCAACGGAGTCAGGTGCCAGGCAGAGGCGAGCTTAGATACGACGCTGCCATTCGCGCACGCAGTCGGCGCGGCGTGGCAAAACCACAAGGCACCGCACAGAGCGCGGACGTAGGACAGTGCATTTAGGGTCGATGCCCTCTGTGCACCGTCGATGTTCGGTGTTCTACGTATTTTCTTCTTATCTCCTTCTTTCGCTCTTTCTCCCCACACCGTGAGCTTTCCGCGCTTCCTCTATCCTCGCCCGCCTTGTCCCCGACCCGGATACTTGTTGGACGGTCCTTAGAGACTCGCATGCCTCTTCGCGATGATCGAGAGAACGAATATGCCCCCGCACGTTTCGCTCTTCGTCGGAGAAGAGAGGAGGAACGGGGAATAAAAGAAAAAAAAAAAACAAGAGAGAGAGGAAAGCGAAGATCGATCCTCTCGAGCTTACAAGTCCGGGTGGCACGCGCGATTATCCTTCTTATTAAATTAAACGCGGCTAATTCCAAGGGCAAGCTAAGTTAAACGACTTATTTGCTTAATGACATAGAAGCAGGTAATTGCGATCGCCGTATAACAGTTTGTTCGAAGCGTTTCGACGAGAGTGAGGTAATCTCTGGGAATCGCGATGTGCTTGAGCTTACTCGGAAGCAGTTACTTCGGCCATCTGCTTTTCCTCACACAGACCTTCGGCTCGAATCTCGGCGTTATGAAAATGTTATTTTCCGCGTCTTATACTTGTCACGCGAAAAATCTTTAACGCTGAAGAGACATTAGAACCTTGGCGTTATGTAAATGTATGATATACGTTGGATCGACAGTAAAGGAATCCCATTTTTTGTCGTCTTTATGAGCACGACCTTGTCCAAGAGCTGTACGCTGTTATTATCCACTTTATTAAATTAAGCGAGAGCGATACAGAGAGAAGATAATGAAAGACGTGACTTGGAATTAATATCCTAACTTTTTAATGCATTTAAGCACTCTCAAAAGGCGATAAATTATCTCACGTGTAATTTAATACGCTGTACGTTGAAGTAGCACGCGTTATATCCACCGCTTTTCAACCACCCTGGTAATTTTTCAAGCCTTTAGTTGCCTCCAAAGCGCGCAATACTCTTTTCACGTATCTAAATATTCGCAAGGAATGTCTGTGTCTTAATTCAAACCTACATCTAAATTTTTAACAAACCCATTCTTTCCGTGTAAAGATAGCTAATTTAATAATACGAATAAATTCTCTATTTTTCGTGTTCACGTATAACCAGTTTGAGCGTTCTATATAATTATTTGTGATGGCCTAAACAAAATTATTTATCAGATCTGCGTTTAGTAAATTTTTAGATACATACTTCCGCAAAATCGTTCTTTCCGGATTTCTCATATTTTTTCAATTGTCTTTAATTCAAGTCCAACCAACTCCAGTCTTGAACCTTTCAATAAAGAAATGATGGTATCGCGCGAGAAACCCTAATGGATGGAAAAGAACAAAGTGGTTGCGGATGCGCGCGAGAACGGCGCGCTCCAAGGATCAATGAACGATTGTTCCTTAATCGCGCGGTGCTCCACAGGTTGCAGTCGTGCGTGTATTCTTCGCACGCATTACTCTCGTTTCATCTCGGATTCTAATCGAATGCGCTTGGGCTCTTGATATCAAATTATCTTCGCTTTCCACCGACTGCTACCGTCGTCGCCATCACCGTTGCAGCGTTGTTGAGAATCTCTCTCGCGTCTGTATAGTCGTGCCGAACGGGTTTCCTTGTTTGACGAGTGGCGCTCGAGCGATTTCAGAGGGATTGCGTTAAACAGCGAGATATAAATCCCTCTTGGCGTTCGCTTCGCTGAGGCACTTCGGTGAATCACACGACTCAGTGATTCTCAATCTCGGAATGAAATCGAACGGCTCTTTCTTTCTGTTGCAGGAATATCGCGGAGGATCTGATCCTGTCGGATGAAGAGAGCGAGGATGAGGAGAACAAGGTAACGAGGAGACATTTAATCTTTTAATGCATTGTTATTAAACATAGATGTATATTAATGAAAATTATTTATATTATTATTTTATATTATTTTTATTATTATTATAAAAGGAAGTAGAGGACATCAGTTATTAAATTAAATATTGTTTGCAATATTATAATGAGACAAGGCGCTTTCTGAAGTAAAATTTTGAAGCTATATAGAAGTTGAACGATTAGCTGCACTTTCGCCTTCAAGTTTGTTTTTCGTTGACTTTTTGCAATACCGCAAAGTATCATACTTTCGCAAACTGATATGATCGAATCGCGTTTGACGAAAAACTAAGTGGCCGTTCATCACGACAAGAAAGATTCCGTTCTACTTAATTTCACGGTGAAATTACTGACGGTCTTCTTTTTCCCAGGAAACATCATCGAGACCGACGAGAGGAAACAGGAGTCCGGATCTCACGGTCGTGTAAGTATCTGATTCGTAACTTTGACCAATCTTTGTTGTTTACGGAAATTAACTTGGGTCAAGCAATTAATAATAAAAAGTATGTTTGTTGTTTCTTGAAATTATTTTAGTATACTCAGAGACTTAAAAAAGAGTTTTCAAATTTTTAAGACACTCTTCAAGTTTTTTTTGACGTCCTTTTTTTGGAAATGATATATTATAATATTTTCAAAATTGTGAATTGATAATATTAAGTAGTTAAATTTAGAAAAAGATAAATTATGCTTTCAAAATTATGTGCTTTTTTACGAACATTTTTATAGTTAATGTTTTTCAATATGAAAAGAAAAAGAAAAAGAATTTTTTGGAAATCTTATATCTTTCTTAAGTGCCTGCATAATTTTCTTCGAATATGCACGTGTATATGTATATGTACGAAACATTTTGTATTTGTGTTAAAATTGGTCTTTGATGAAACTTTTGTGTTGAATTTCTAACGTATCCGAATATTAATTTATATAAACTTGTGATATTTGAATATTTTATGTTAAATTAATATTCCTCATTTTCCTTAATATTAAAATAACACAATTTATAAGTAAGTGAACAATTAATATAGAAATAATGTTTTTTAAAACGTAAATTCTAAAATAAATGAATATAATGTATTAATTTAACTTATTTTAAATATTAATTATACCGATGAAATATGCTTTTACAATTTGCTTCCAAATTGTGTCAACCTTGCATTTTTTGTGTTATTTTTCGGCATAGTTTGTATTAAATAAAAAATTTTGATGGACTGGGACATGTGAAACGTGTTAAATGTAACATAAATTGTTCAACTGTATAGCGTGGTTTCTAAATTGAATTTGCTACAATTGGCCAACAAGAAATTTCTACGATTTCCAGTGTCTCGGTACCTTTATCGAAAATCACGATGTCCAATTTTGAACATCGTTTGATCAAACATCCTTACAGTCTATCGGCACCATTAATGACATCGGCACCGCCGCCTTTGACACCTGTGTCGCCCATGATCATGTCACCCGTGGGCCCATTATCACCCTCGCGGCCGATCAGCCCGCCGAGATATCCATCGCCGCTACCAAAACGGGCGACACCGGAGCGAGTGCTGTCTCCTCCGACGGGTGTCAATCATCCCTTGCCATCCGCGTGTTCCCCGACGAATCCGGTCGTCGGCCAACCGTCGAGTCCAGCCGAGGCGCCGCATAGCTCCGGAAGCGCCAGCTCGAGCTCGGATTCCGGTTCAGATTCCGGCTCGGACAGCAGCGATGATTCCGAGGACGAAGATGATCTGACCTCGGCACCTCCACCATCTAAGGGGCCTACGACACCGCCCTCGGTTTCACCGAAACAGGACAATTTAGTGGAACCGCCGCCTGCTGAGGAACCCCGTCGTTGGGACCTTATTTCTTTCCTGCAGCAGAACGACAACCAGAATTCCGAATCGAAACCTGCTCAGGTAATATCATACTATTTACATTAATTAAATGGTGCAATATTTGGATTTTTTTCTTCTTAGTCTGTTTGTTCAGAGACGTGGTAATTTTTTTTGCATATCCTTTAATATACAGCAAAGATATTATTGCTATAGCCTTTCGAAAGACGATCGAATAAAATCTGATATTATGTATCGGAATCTTCAGCATAGAAAGCAGACTCACAACTCTCTATACCACAATTGTTACAATTTTGATTGTTAATATTTTTAAAAATCTAAGAAAATGAATGTTTTTTGAAAAAGAAATTTTTATTTTAAAACTCTTTAATATACCTATAACTTTTAAACAAAAATATAGATATATTTGAAAGTAATAGAACAGTAGATTAAAATCCGAAAAATAAATAAATTGATTTGGTTATTAGTGTCTAATTCTATATAGTATAAACTAAATATGTGTGTACATTAATTATGACAAATATTTCAACTTATAATAAAAGGAAGATAGGTCAATAAAGAGCATATATTTTCAGATCACAACTCCAAATTAATTTATTAATTCTGAAATATCAATTAATGGGAACGTTTCGACTTAACTTAGTCTTCATGAGATAAATTCAATGACATAAATAATAACACTTTAAATAATGACAATTCCCCAACGGTAGAAAGTATTTTGTATTTGATGCTTATATAAAAAATGTATCAGAGACAGTAGTAAAATGTGTGAATAAATCGCTTTTTACCATTGGATACAGAGGCCTAAATTAATTAAATAAAATAATTAAAGTACAAAAAATGTCACTGAAATTGATTCGAAATGTAATGTCGTATAGAAAATCAATTGTAAGAACTATAACGCAACATATGTAAATGCAAATAAAAATATAATAAAAGATTAATTTCTGAAATGTTAATTAAAAACATTAAAGAAGAACAATCGAATGGCATTAATTTACAAAAGGATACTGAAAGTCTTTTTGACAATTCATATTTTTATTTACTAAATTTTATCTCTTAATATACAATAATTAATAAGGAATATTATTTCTGATATTTCAATAACAAGAAGAAAGTTTAATTTGGTAAAAAGGAGTCAGCACGGTAATAAAAGCGCAAATTAATAGAAAATATTTTTAATAAAACATATGTAATTACATTGACAATTGGACGTTAAGGCTATATAAATTTTTAGCCAATTTTGGCTAAAGTTGTAACATTTGCGCCTAACATTAATTGATATTTAAGAATTAATTAATTAATTTGGAATTGTGATCATATGCTCTTTATTACCTATCTTCCTTTTATTATTGCTTAGCAAATTAGAGCTAGATATTCGAAATTTATTTCAACTTATAATTCAGTCAGTGCGTTAATAAAAACCTCCGTAATATAAACAAAAGCAAGTTAAAGGGCAATAGGTATGATTTTGCCATAAAGTTGTTATAAGATTATAAATACGTCAAAAAAATCGTTTGATTATATGTTTAAATTGTATGAGAAATTATGCCAGAGAATTTATTTTAAAATAGGAATTGCATTGTTTTTACAGGAAAACGCTAGGCGAGAGAATACTCTTGAAATAACAACGGAGACCAGATCACACAGGGAACAGTCCCATGATTGGCAGCTCGGTGAGGCCTTGAAGAGGTCTCATAATATGAATTCTCTCAGCGACAGCGATCATCATTCTGATCAGGAGAAAAATCAGCTGATTGAAGACAATCGCGCCCAGACAGAGAAACCGAAAGTGGCCGATACTAAGAAACGCGGACGACCTAGGAAATCCATCAAGAGTCCGAAACGCAGTCACCGGACGTCGGACGAGAATCCGAAGAACAGTAAGTCGCGCAGCCGAACGAGAACTGTAGCTCTTGGCAAGAAAAAGCCACCCAAATCGAAAGAAACGGTGACCTTAACTGACGACGATAATGATTCGAAATCGCAAAGTGATTCCGACAGTGATCGTCGACCTACCAAAGTGTCGGCCGTAGTACCGACAAGAAATGAAAAGAGATCGAGACTGAGTCTATCGTCTAGCGACGACGAGAGTTCGCCACCGAACAGGAAAAATAATAACAGTGCCTCTGAGGACGACACCGCGCGATGGACAAGAGTTCCCCCCCTCAAGCGGAGCAACCTGTTGGACTCGCCGAAGAAGCAAGACCAGAAGAAAAGTTCCGCCAAAGGCAAACCTAGGCAGCCTAGATCTAGAGTGACCAATATTACCGGCGGTTCGGATTCTGACAGTGAATCAGAGGTGTCTGTAAGGAGTAATCGCATCAAAGTCGCTCGGTAAATTATATTTTATATAATTAACTCTAACATATTAATTATCTCTTTATTTTTCTTTACTAAATGTTATAAAGTTTGCATGTATTTCTCTTTCTCGCCTTTTGCTTTTATTTAATAAGTAAGACTAATAAACTTATTTATAATATTTCATAAAAGTATTATGAATGTCAGAGTGCCACCCAGACCTCGAGCACCACCAACGAGGACGACTTCGCCTGATAATTCTGATAGCGATAACAGCCCGGCGTCGAAATTGCAAGAGGATGACGCCGGCAACGTACAGGACAAGAAGAAAAGCGACACGCTGCGCCACGTCTTCTCGACGTCGAGAGGCATCGGGAAGACGGGTGGGAAAGGTGGGAAAGGTGGAAAAGGCGGTGGTAAATGCGGTATCTACGTAGAAGAGTATACGAGTAATTCTGCTACACACACACCGACGGGCGGGGACAGTCCGTACAAAAGACCGTCCTCGCGGACGTCCAGTGGTGGCAACAATCTTCTCCTACGCTCTCCTCCGGCGCTCACACATGTGAACGGCGTACCAAGTCTCATGTGCAAGATCGAAGTCAGCAGGATATCCTCGCAGATATTTTCAAATCTATCGAGGGGACAAGAGCTCAGACAACGCACAGAATTGCCTGACACTAGGCCATCTTCGAGACAAAGGCCGTCCTCCAGTTTGGCGATCTTGCAACCACCGAGGTCGATCACACCGGAAGAGGGTGAGATCATCGATACGCCGCCTCCGCAGCAGCAGGTCGTATCGGATCGTGCGAGAATTCATCGTTCCGACGGGCTGCTAAGCGAGAGTGACGGCAAGATTTCACGTTCTGTGATTAAGGCCCCGATATCGTCGGACTCGAAGAGTGGCGGTACTGTTCTCGGAGGTGCTGGTAGTGCTAATAGTGCCGGTACGCTTGGTAGCGCGCCTAAAAGGAAACGTAATCCGAGTTGTAGTTCTGTGTCTAGTTTGAGCCCTGTTCAGTGTTCGGTAGATGCGAAAACTAAAAGTACCTCCGAGCATAAAGACAGAAGCCGTAAGAGACAACGGAGGCATGCCAACGACGGACTAATGTCCAGTCAGGTATGGAAAAAGTAAAAAACTTTTCTGTGAACTCTTGGCTGTGAAAACTCGGTTGTAGTATTTTTGTTATTGAGTTACATGTTTATATACCTATAATACATATAATATTAGTTTTCAGTTTTAATATCATAAAATCATTCATAACATATTAATGCTAATTTTCTTAAAAATAATAATTATATTTTTTTTTTAATAAATAATTAAATTTTTGTTAAACAATTTACTTTTTACTTATATAATAATCTTTTGATTTGTTTGAATTTAGTCGATTACATAAACATAATTTTTTTACTAATTTTATAAAAAATTTTTTTATATTTTAAAATGCGCGTGCTCTTTATCATATTAACTTACATAATATAATTATATAGTAAATTATATAGTAATTATATGAATAGATTAAATAGATAGAATACTAGATACTTTATATACATATATTTTAATATTATTATACAGCAGAGTGATATTCAACCGACTAATCATGAAAGGGACGAGAAAGCAGATACTAGTTTATTACCGCCACCTCCTCTCCCAGCTCAGCGCGTCTACTATTCTTACTTCGATCCTCAAAATGAAATATTAGAAGATCAGGATAGGTAAGTTTTTATATTTAAAGTAAAATGTTGATTGAATTTCTATCATAAAATAAATAAAAATTAGATCTGGATAGCGTGATATCCTTAATAATATTTTCCACTATTAATTAATTATTTTTAATGATTTAGAGTGAGCACTAAAATTGGATATGTACTTTTTCTGGTACTCAATGTCTAAGGATTATTCTGAATGCGTGTGTGTGTGCGCGCGCGCGCTCACACACACACACACACATGTAATTAGTTTTTTAATTTAACAGCGTATACGTACATTTCAGGGACCATGACCAGTACCTGACCGAAGCTAAACGATTAAAACACAATGCCGATGAGGAGAGCGATCTTACGGCACAGGGCATGATGTATCTGGAGGCTGCTCTGTATTTTCTTTTAACAGGCGATGCAATGGAATCAGACTCAGTTACGGAAAAAGCTTCGTATACTATGTACAAAGATACTCTTAGTCTCATCAAGTGAGTATATTTCTAATTAAGACTCGTACGCGCGTGGTAACACGAAAGAGAGCTTGCTAATTGAAGCGATTTTTCCTTTGTTTCGCAGATACATTTCGTCAAAATTCAAAAGCCAAACGAACAACTCACCTGAGAATAGCATACACACTAAGCTGGCCATCTTGAGGTGATTACACCTTCTTACTTCTTTTAATCATACAAATAGTATTGCATAAACGGACGGATGCATTTCAAAATTATAATTTGTCTTTTTTAGCCTTTGGTGTCAGTCTCGTTTGTACTCCAAACTATATAACATGCGCAAACAGGAAATGAAAGAGGTCCAAAAGATCGTCAACGACTTCAATCAAAAGGTAATTGGTTTTTTATTGGATCATAATAATTATATTGCTCAATATGTTAAGTACATCGAACATATTACAATCCTCAATTTATTAAAATCTATAACTATCCTAGATATATGTAAATCGGTGTGTGAATCATAATTGTTGAAAAATCTATTTTAGCAATCTCAGCAATCAGTAGCTCAGACAACACCTGCTCAGGCGGAAGGACAGGGCACGCCTTCTCTTTCGCCAACACCGTCGCCTGCCGGTTCTGTAGGTTCCGTCGGTAGTCAAAGTTCCTCTGGATATAGCAGCGGTGGACAACACCCGGCACCACCGGTCAATGGCCAACATATTAGCGTGCCATTGCAGGTCTTCAATGCGATGATCAAGCAAAATCAGTATTCAGGCTTTCTTATGAATGGCCACGACCTATGGGACCTGGCAATAAAGCAGGCGAGACAGGAAGAGAATAGAAGTACGTATTGGGAAATAAACCACATCTGGTGAATCCTGTTACGATTTGTAATGACTGTTGCGTTTTTCAGGCTTTTTCATCGACTTGGATCGAAGATTGGGACCCTTGACATCGTATAGCTCGCTACGTGAGCTTGTGCGTTACGTTCAAGCGGGTATAAAGAAATTGCGAGCTCTCTGACCACAGTGGCATAGCCCCCGACCACCCACTCCAAACTACGTTACCTCCCTTCCGCAAAATATGGTCACTTACCCGACCATGTACACGTAGTTGCATTATGTCGGTCAGTGTGACTTGTTCATCAACAGCCGAAGTAATGAAATGGGAAGGTACGATAACGATGATACAGCGAAATCATGAACTATTTTCTTTGCGAGAAGTGGTCTCAGAGGGGCGCGATCGAATCGATAACGGGATTCACAGCAATCTAGAAAAAGGAGAAAAAACGAGAGCAGCTCGTGAGATTCTCCTTTAGTCGGACAACGTGGGGGCATTCTTGATATAAATTTAGCAGCAAGTTTATAGTCAATTGTAAAGCGCGTGCCTGAGGGGGCGAGGGGAAAGGCGACCGATCGAAAAAGGGAGAGTCGCTTTATCTTACCACGGTGCATAAACGAACCTCGTGCACTTTGTTAGAGCACGTGTTACTTACTCTCGAGGCGCAATAATGAATCGTTGGGCGAAGATGATATCGAGACGCTCGCGAGCGCATTAGATTTCTAGCAAGCCGCAGTGATAACTCGTGTCTATTTTTTCTGAAGTGTCCGCTTTTGTAAGTTAACGCATAGATATCGACACGAGATTTGGGGAAGGTAAAGGGAGGGGAGAAAGGAGGATTAGGGAGAAAGATCGAATATGAGAAAAGAGAAGTAAAACCACTGATGAGGTAGAAGAAGTGCCACGTATAAGCGCCCGTGTGTTCTCGCTTCATGGTGCGCCCGCAGCCGACGTTACCTGAAGCATGAGTATCGTTTCGGCGATTCAAGTGCGATGAATATAAGGGATACCTATTTAATATATATAGTTTATTATCTACATAAATATATATAAATAGTTATAAAGATAAGAATATATTTAATGACGCGAAAAAAGATAAAGTATCTTGCGCGCCGGCGCCGCGTTTCAGTATAGGGGAACAGTTGTATTCGCGAATGCGAGAAGATACCGTGATAAAATGAAGAAAGGGAGGTAGAGAAGAGGCAAGATTAGAGATTTCGGTGGAGGGATACGCGAGCAACAGGATCAACAACCAGGATCAAGCGATATGCTATAGTTAAACTATAGTATTTTAACATTTGCGTGCGAAGCACACGACTCTTTTTTGTAGATAGATTATGGGGGAAGTAATTTAGATTAGAGTAATTAATATGCAAACAGGAAAAGCAGTAACAGATGCGACTATACCAATACATATTATTTACATTACCTAGAATTAACCGGGAAAATAAGTAGAGGTTCTAGTGCGATTGAAAAGTAAAGGAGAAAAAATAATAGTATACTGCATACACACATATACCAATAGTATAATTTAATGAAACGCAAGCGAGGGAAGAACAAAGCAAGGTAAACGCACGTTAAAAATTAGGAGGTGAACAATGCCAAAATGTATTTGCGAATAATAAGTGACAAATATAATCAAGATTACTATAATCGAGATTATTCGTAAATAAATTTTGCCTGGATACTGAAGAAGTGAATATCCCTCTTGCGCGCACGACATGAGATGTTAACGGAAAAACAATGAGAAGAACAAGCGCAAGCGGATAAGCAAGTTGCTCATGTGTATATTTTTGTAAATAGATATTTGTGAGTGCCGCCGTCTTGAGGGCGATCTACCGTTTGTTGAGTTTGCGGTAGATTGGCCCGCCCCAATTTTTGCTACCACAGATCTTGTCGAGAATCGGGTAAGAGATTATAAATAAGGAAAAAGATATGAGAATACATAACGAATCGACACACGACGAAATGTCCGTTGAATTAGTTTTGAAAGAGAAACATGCTCTCCGTGGTTTTTTTTTTTTTCCTTTGAGAACGGCATTTATGTTATTCTCTCAGATGATTTTCTGATCCGTTCTCGTTTTACGATCGCTTCTCGATCGGAAAATCTTGTCGATGAAAATTCTAAACGTGCGTCACGACAGCTTCGTTGTTCCCAAATTTACCGGTGATTTGATTCACCTCACTTTGAAAACGCATCTCTTCCCCCGCATTCAATCGATGAAGAATCGAGTAGATTGCGATTTAACAGCGGGAAATAAGGTGAACAACACTTAAGAGTTTCATTTTCTCGATAAAACGTGAAACTTGACGAAGCGAACTTGTAAAGATTGAATCCACAAATCGCGCGCGCGAAGGGATTTTTATCAAATCTGAGATTAATACAATCCCGTAGTTTAATACATATCCGATTTAAATTTAATTCTCCTAAGTGATATCCCATCAGAGATGTGACTGACAGCATACTCTGAGGACCAATTATCATTTGTATAACTATTACAATAAAATCGTATTATCCCGTTGCTGACGTTCTGTTGGTAATGCCAGGAAAGATGAACATAAAAATGACGCAGGCGGATTGGCGGGATGACGACGGCCCATAGTTATTAAGCGCGGTCCAATGGTTCACGGGATACAATTTTATATTTCACGAGTGCGGTAAAAGATAAAGAGAAGAGTCTAAAAGAAAATAAAATTTAAAAAAAAAAGAAAAGATGTCTATTAAAGAGCTTCGAGAATATTTTCGAGACACACATATTTATAGCAGATACATATATCAGGCCCATTTTCTCGCCAGGCCGACTGCCCGAAAGAAATGAATAAAACGCGAATTTGAGATATCAAATCGCAAGTTCGACGTGATTTATCGAGGAAATGAAAACAATGGAATTTTCATTACGATTGCATGCAGAGGATGAGTTTGCGATGAGCGGAAAAGAGATTGTCGGTTTATGTAAATAATTATCGATATTATTAGGTAAATTGTTTTTTATAATATTCTTTTTGATAATTTCGGGCTGATGTATGTTCCTGCATGACTTCCAAAGATAAGCAAGGGTGCTGTCGCTCCGTAAGGGTGCCTCGCAAAGCAGCAGCGAATTAAATCGGAAAACACATTCGCCTTTTTTTAGTTCTTTGTAGGTTTTTTTTGCTTTTTTCTTTTAATCCCCTCTCCCTTTTTTGTGTATCGATCAATATAGTTGAATCGTGGAATTGCGTCGCGCGATATTTTTTGCTACAATTCTATTATAAGCTATTATTAAAATCATCGTTACTGTTATTGTTAACACTGACGATATTATTGGCGATAGACAACAATTACAATCAGTAAAAGTAATAATGATAGATATACATAGATGGTATAATTAATAATAGTAACAGTAACGATGTTACTATTTACTATGTAATGGTTATTATGTTATGAATAATATTATATCGTTATTCTCTTTCTTTGAGATATTTTAACGAGTGAGAGCGCATAAGACGAAGTGATGCGTGAAGGGTGGAATGCGGAGACATTGCGCGTCGCGCACACAGAATGTACATTATTCCTACTCTCGCGAAGTTATGGGGGTTTCAAATCGGACAGACACGGTCGTGCGATAGATATCGCCCTCGTATCTGTAAAGGACCTTAATAGAGTTTGATTGCGCCGTTTGATTTTGGTCTTCTTAGCCTTTACCCCTCCTCACACCCTCACACCCCTACCACACACCACTTTATATTCGTAAAATATTTATACATATGTGCACACACATACACACCACACACACACACAAACACAATACACATTACATTGCGTGTATATACATACACATAAATATAAGGAGACGAGAAGTATACATACACGCAATTTTAATTATGATTATATTATATATTATTACATTATTAGTAATTATTACATTGATGATTATACGCGATAATTATTTTCCTATATTTATACGGGACGTATTGTGTACTACCCAATTTTTTCGAATATGAAACGACTGTTTTACCACCGTTAGACTGCTCCATCCGTCGTGATTGTGCAAAAAAAAAGAAGCATTATGCGCTATGCAAGTTCGCATCTTCGCACAGCCACTTTGGTTTCTTTTAAAGTAAGCTTCACAGTTTACATTATTCCTTGCATATTTTTATCAACAAGTTCTTCGGTAATATTGTAATAGATATTCGAATAAGTTCCTTTAATCGATTTTTCGTTTATAATATAAAAGGGCTTAGTTTGATACTTTCCTGTCTATCAGGGTTGATAAAAGAAAATATTTAAAAAAACATAACATTATGTTTTTTAAAAACATATTTTTATATTAACATTATAATAATTTAATGTCTTGAACACGTTTTAAATAGTATTAAAAGAAATATGTTTAAAATTATATATATATATATATATATGCCTAGTCGACACAAATTAAAAGTAACGTAACGTCAATAGCTATTATGTAACGCCATGAATATTAAATTTATAGAATTCAAAATTATAACATTGATGTTATGTTACTTTCAGTTTGTATTGATCCTTTATAAGCCCTACTGTTTACAAAGCTTTTGATCAGATAACTGCAAATGTAGATTAGTCGATAAATTATATACAATTTTATGTTAATATAATACAATTATTTATTAATTATGATTATAATTATTATAAATCAGGAAATTAATTAAATTTAATAAATTATTAACAATGGTATAAAAGTTAATGTAATACATTAAATTTAAAATTTATCATTGAATATATTATGTTTAGCTCATTTAAAAATTAAATTATTAATACTGAATTGTATTATACGACATTGTAATTACGTATTACTTATATTGTATATGAAACAAGAGTTCATTTTCTTTTACAACCATTATTGAAATTACATATCTTCTATTGTGTCATATTTGATCGCGATAAATTTTAGATCGTTTAGCTCTATTCGAGAAACAGTCTGAAATCGAGTTCGTGTAGAGAGCGAACGGTGGCAGCGAAGGTGCGATTTTATTTCGAATAATGTAATAGATGGGCGGGCGAGTGGACAGGGTGATTTAACGGCGGCGTATTCCGAAATTGGCGAAGCAATCGTATGCTGTTGGTACCGAGCAATGCACAAGTAATCTGACTAATTGCGTTGACTATGCGTTTATAACGACGACGTGACACGACACGTGTACTACATGGATTTCGCGTACGACGGCGAGGATAGAAACGAAAAGAGATCTCCTCCACTCTCCATCCTCCTTTACGAAATATCATTTATCAGCTCATCGTAGTTTCCAATGCGTGTCGTACGCGGCTTAATCGCCATTGAAACGAACTGAAGTCGATTTCTTTATTATAATTCTCTTTTTTTAAATGTTTATTATAACATTTGTAACATCTTATAGAAATCTACTCTTCCAAGCAATTTACGCAATAGACACCATTTCTAATTGGCATTATGATGCCTCATCTACATAATTCGCAAATCGCAAAACATGGTTCGCGAATACCATGATCGCAGAATGACGATCGTCGCACGCAGATGATGAAAATTAACTGCACGCAATATAAAAACAAATGCAAATCTTCATTCTGCGTCTGCCTTTATGAACTACTTTTTACGATTTTCAAATTATGTAGAAGCACCGTTAAACCTATGCGACATACACGTGATATACATAAATACATACGTGGTATATATAAATACATACATATATTTTTTAAATTTTTTGGAGTGGAATCTTACTCTAAAGAGTTGAGAGTCTTAAAAAAGAGTGACTCAATTTTCAACTTTTAAGAGATAGATTTCATTTCTTAGAATGACAATTTACTCTAAACGTTTTAACTTAAAAGAGTATTAGACATTTTATTAACCATTATTTAAAGTTTTAACTCAAAAATTGATTTATAGCATTTGCTGTAAATTATCTTTTGTTTCAAAAACTCTTCAAATTTTTTTTAATCGGTGGGGAAATGCATTATACAGTCACGGAGGAGAACCGTGGTATGTAAGATTCTCACTCAGTAAAACCCCATCGGGTGTCCTACTCAGGTCCTAGCCAGGGGATCTTCGGGAACGTGTGCAGCATACTTTCGGAGGACCCCTAAACTCTTTAAATTTGTATACAATGCCAATAATCAATAGATAGCAATGTAGATAAAAGAATTACAGATAAATAAAAAAAATATATAGATGTCTAATATTTTTGGCCGAGATATATATAATTATTTAGTGACTGGTAGACAGACAGGCGAAAGATGCAGGCGGAAGGGTAGATGGATGTGAAAAGAAACAAGCAGAATTAATTAGAGAATTGGAACAAGGGGGAGAGGAGTCGGAGGACACGTGAATAAGCAAACTGCACCAAGGAGAGACCAAATTATATCGCTTAATGAGATATAATTACCTATTTGCTTTGTATTTATTTTAATCGTTAATTAATTATTGTATTTATTGGCGCGGAGGCTGACACGCATATGCATAATTTTTGGGAGACACGTTAATTACACGAAACACACACAAACAAACAAACACACACACACACACACACAAATGTGCCCGGCCGAGTTATCATCACACATATTGTTCGAAGAAATTATTAGAGATTTTTTAATCATTATATACATATATATGATGAAACTTTAATGTTTATTCTTGTTGAACAAAGCGACTCGAGTATAGAACGACTGAAGGAATAGACTCGTATGTGAATCATGAAAGAACCTCTTTTCTATTTTCTTTCTGTCATTCTTTGTATACATATAATAGAGATCGATCAGCAGAAAGCATTAAAGTGTCGCACGAAGGCAATACGTAATTTATAATTAAATATAACGATTTATGTTAAAAACTTAATATTGTAGGATTGAAAAAATTCACATTTTTCTACAATATTATATCGGACGTAACTGTTAAGAAATTGTCATTACTGTTCATCAAAATTTAGAAAAGCGTTTGATTTATTTTGATACCACTGCGATTAAATTTTACCATGCCTAAATTTGAGATTATATTAAAATATATTATATTAATTATGTGAATAACAAAAAAAATCTCACATTTTATGCGAATTTTTTTTAACTATTTTAACGATATTGTCAACGATAATGATTAATACTTTCGGCCGTGCGCATTATTCTCATCGTAGCAATACAACTTCCTCGTTAATTGCGAATTATTTATTTCGTCGTTGGTACATACATATACAAACAATTTCGACATTGTAGCGGAGGGAAAGAAGTACAAAATTTACACATAGCGAACGCACAAAGTGACTTGTAATACTCCTTCGACGAATGTATCTCGTAAACGTTCCAGATGCCTCACCTTGTACACCAAGTAATCAATATAAACACAAAACTTTAATAGTTACACTATTCGATCCCCTTTTATTACTCACGTTGCCAAAAAGAAATTCCGTGCGAATTGTCATAACAAAAAGAAAGAAAGGACGATCACGTGTCGAGATGAGTCGTTCCTTGTCAACGTATTCTTCTTTTTCTTTCGATTTTCCTTCGAGAGATCTTACCAGTTTATTTTCGGTCGATTGTAACGCGAATCGAAGACTATTCCTCGACTCCGTTTTAATTTTGCTCCGTATGCGTCTGATCAGCTAATGTTTTTCGTCATTTTGCACGCGTTTTTTTTCGCTCCGCGAATACGTGCTGCAAAAAACGCTCATCTTCTTGACGAATCAGCGCAGCCTTTGACTCTTACACCATACAAAAAGAGAGGAAAACAAAATGATAAAACGTATCACGTGAGACAACGGCGACAGGGGAGATAAAACGTGGGAAGAGAAAGACCCGTGACAATATATACATATACATATATATATCTATATATTTGCGAGATATTTTGTGAAACAGGGCTTTTTTACCTATTTTATAGTAATCTCAGCTTAAACGGATTGAGAGAGTGGCAGCGAGAGAACGAGAGAAAGAGAGAGAAAGCCTTTACTAAAAATAATAAATTAAAATGATGTGACGAGGATGTTGTCATCAAATGACGTATTAAGCAGTTGATGAGCGGTCTGTAAATGCGTACATACATAGCATAAATGCCGTCGTTTAATGGGGACGGTTTTACTATAACGTGTACCCTATTTTTGTTTATGTTTTGCGCCTTAGATTTAGCATTATTACTATTATATTCTAATTATTATTAATTATTTTGATTATTATATATTATTTTTAAGATTCTTATTAATTATTATTATTATTATTATTATTATTATTATTATTATTATTATTATCATTGTGTATATGGTATAAATTGTAAAAAGGAACATATTTACTATATCATATTCATTTTACGGGGTCACTTCCCCGAATGAACAAATTGTTTAAACTAAAATGAAGGAATAAATAAAATATTGACCAAATTAAGGGGGAAGTTTATTCTGCCGACCTATCTCTTATTCATTAATTCCTCTATTATCCCATTTACAAGTATATGCAACCTATTATTACATTGATAGATAAGACCTTCCAAATCCGAGTTTCTTTTGAGAGATTCATATATCATACATTGATATTTATATTTTAACAACAACCACTATAACATACTATAATAATATATATGTAAGGTAAATGTTACTGGACAGTTAAGGAATTACACGACGAAATCATTTATTTAAACTCTAGAAACATTAAAATTTTAGTTTATTAGTCCATTATCAAATATGTTATTTGCGTTTATTATAAATTGTATTTAGTCATAAATATAATATGATTCAAATGTCCTAATTATTGGACAAAAAATGTGACGTGTCTCTGTGTCCACAAAAGTATGACCCAATTATTGGACAAATAATAAGCAATTTTTTTATTATAGAAGAGAATCGCATTTTACTTACTTATCAATCAAGATTGTACAAAAAAGTTTATCAAAATTGTAATTAGTATAGTTTTATATGTAATATATACAAAATATGTTTTTTAATCATTCAGTAGACAGGTACGCTAAGGAATGTCCAATAATTGATACACGCATATGTGTGAATGTCCTAATAAATGGACGATTGTCCATAAACGAAATTTTTTTAAAAAAGTATGTTTAATATGAATAAATTATATAATACTTAATTTCTAAATAATATGAAAAATTGCTTAAAAATTTATTTAGAGTAAAACATATCATCAAAAGCTTAATATTTAAAATTGTCACAATTTATCCAACAATTGGGTCACGTCCACGAAGTGGTACATTTACCTTATATAATGTAATTTTAGTTTACCAATTGATATGCATATATACAAAATTTGTTGCCAATGCTTTTTTATAAACGTTGTAAAGTTAAAATCGTCATTTTTGTCTCTGTCATTTTTCTCAAAATTGTGACAAATACGAAAATAGACAAATGTGAATAATGAATTTGTGTTTAATGCTTAAAAGTATATCAAAAATTAAAATAATTTAAAAAATTTTTTTTAGCACACACTAGTAATAAGCAACGTCAACGAACACATTAGAATGGAAATGCCGAAACAGCATTTTCAGTTGAAAACTGAGATATGATATAGAAGGTAAAGAATATGATATAGAAGGTAAACGATCAATCATCTATGTCATCTAATATATACTTCTTTCGTTATCCACTTATCCGTGAATAAATATTCTATATTTAATGAAATATCTTGTGTATAACTTAAGTATCTACTGGACTTATACGAATATTATTGTTTTATGAACGCGTCATTAATATATCTTTAATTAAGGATATATACATATAATTTATTGGTCTGTGTATTATACATATTTATAATTATATTTTATTAGTTTTTAAGAATTTCAATTTAAAGGTAATGTTTTAAATGTAATCTATTTACAATCTTACATACATTATAAATGTAAAAAATCAAATTCTTAAAGTTATTTTACTTTGTTCCTAGTTGTATTTAGACCTTGCCGGTTTTTGAAAATTAAATTTTTGCAATTTAAAATCTCGAATTTTTGGAAATTAAAAAATTTTTTAATATTTTAAAACATTTTTATTAGAAATAAAAGTATTTTAGAATTTCGATCCGCTACAATATACGATTCAACTTTTACGTAAAAGTATCATATTAATGTTTATATAAACCATTTTATCAAAGTCAACAATGTTTTCTTTTGAAGATTTATTTTGTTTCTTTTTTTGGTAAATGTCTGGAAAAGGGGAGCCCCCCCGATGATCTTGACCTTGACATATGTTGTCAAGGTCATGATCCTGAGTAACCTCCCGCAGGTTTTAAGTGGCGGTCACTGTCCGTAAAAAAGTTATTAACAGAAAAAGTTTCAAAATTAACGTACCATTTCTCGGAAATTATACATATTAACGTATCATTTCTGCCATATATGTATTATAACAAGTACTATTTTACAGTCCTAGAAGTCGTGTGCCCCTTCGCAGGGGTTTGGGGGAGGTGAGAGTTACTTCTCGTGGAAAGTTTAACGTTTCTAAACGGAAGGAGATGTAAAGTAGTACTTCTTATAATACATATATGGCAGAAATAATACGTTAATTTTGAAACTTTTTTTGTTAATAACTTTTTAACGGACAGCGACCGCCATCTAAAACCTGCGGGAGGTGACTCAGGGTCATGACGTTGACAACATATGTCAAGGACAAGATCATCGGAGGGGGCTCCCCTTTTCTAGATATTTACCCTTTTTTTAATTAATCATCGAATTTATAATATTTAAATTTATCATATCGTATCAATTAGAATTATAAGTCATATATCTAATAATTATAACCGAAATGTGAGTATATGAGTAATTTAAAAAAAAATGATAAAAGATTAGGTTAAATTAAACTATAGATACTGTTTTTAGAACATATCACACGATCGTTCTTTCCAGCTTATAAACACAGGCAGCTATATGTATAAAAGCTTGTGTGTAAACAGCATTCGGAGCACTAATTTAATTGGGATTGACTGTCCTTTTTCTATTGTGAGTTTTGATTGCGCATAAAAATTGGAATTAGATTATCTTTAAAATCTTGATTCTTGTATCTTTATAATTATATTTGAAATACAGATATTCGGAAAATGTTTCGATATTTCGTGGTGATAGCGGCATTCGTCGTACTCAACATCAATGGTTTGGCAAGGTGAGCATGTATAAACGTTGATTTACGATATCTAAATATTTCAATGATAATTAGGACAAATTGCTATAAAAATGTACTGTATTTGTTAGAAATGGAAAAGCTTAAGTATATCTTTACAAATAGAGAAATATTGTCTCTAATAATAGTTCACTTTATTCGGCATATTTCGTGGGGATGCCCTTAGAAGATTCAAAGACATACGAATGTCCTCTGTACGTCTTAAAGATGTTTTTTATATCCTGGAGGTCTGTGCTGTCGGAGACAAATTTTTCGAATATGCAATATTTCAACAATTATTTGTAGAGATATAACTTAAGGTTTCTATTGATTGTAATTTTCTGTATTTTCTTCGTAATGGTTTAGTTTAGATAATAAGAACAAGAAAATTAATATTTAAAGTAACTATAAACAGCATTTGTTGCAAAATTAATAAATATGGATAACATTTATTTCTTATGTAAATATATATCAACATAATGTTGAAGCTTTGATAGTTTTCAAAAATAAAAAGTATATTTGCATATGATTAATCAATTCGAATTATACGATATTCGTATATTGGTTTATATATGTATAACACATGTATATATACATATACAAAATATAATATGGAATTTTCTTTATATTATTTCAAGAATTCTTTTGCATAAGACAACTTCTTTGCCAAGAGCGATTGATGTCAAAACTCGACATGGTCGTGAAGATGTTAGTAATATTGTAAAGCTACCTTTGCATAGTGATCGGGATATTGCGTACTATGGTAATATTACAATTGGAACCCCACCGCAGAAGTTTACAGTAATCATAGATACTGGTTCCGCAAATCTCTGGGTACCATCCATAAATTGTGTTGACAGCAACAGAGCTTGCAGTAAGTCATATATTATAACATTTTGCTTTATCTTCAATATTTCATTATTTGTAAAAGTATATTTATATGTAATAATATTATATTATATTGCACACAAAAATCATTTTTATTGCTTTTTTCATTTTAATGATTGACGTAGAAATATGGAATAGCAACAGTGCTGTAGAGAATTGTGTTCTTTCTATTCACATTTTAAATAAATTTTTTTAAATAATTTTAAAGTTTATAATGCTTCAGAAGTTGATTTATCATTGAGCAGGTAAATATTATGGAACTAAGTTTTATAATATTACATGTGATTTAATTTAGATTGTTATGCTTATTCTCAATACACAAATGATTTTCGACACAAATTATAAATCTTGTGTTAAGTAAAAAATATAAATATATTATACATACATTTGATGAAAACTATTGTTAATTATATCTATTAAATTAATACAAAAAAATTATTTATAAAATTTGTAATATAACTCATTTACTTTTACGTATTATATTTTACAGAGAAACATAATAAATATGATTCCTCAAAATCTAGCACATATATACCAGATAATACAGGGTTCAAAATTGACTATGTTTCTGGTTCTGTTGGCGGACACTTTTCTACTGATGTAGTAAATGTGAATTATCATCAAGCAAATATTTCTATTTAGTCTCAATCATAAATTATATATAAAATTGTTCTAAAGAAACACATCACATTTTTTATAGATTGCTGGTTTTGATGTTGAAAATCAAACATTCGGGGAAGCAGTAACAGAAGCAAATGTTTTCGAAAATGCAGCATACGACGGACTCTTGGGAATGAGTTATTCAAACATATCTATCGAAGGAGTGACACCACTTTTTGCCAACATAGTTAAACAACATAAAATAATTTCAATTTTTAGTTTCTATATTAATCGGCATGTATCTTTTTGTATGCATTATATTTTTTTCCTTTAAATAGTTTGATTTCCCATACTCGAACCTTTCATATTAAACAATGTACAATTTATATAGAGATCCAAATATTACATGGGCTGGTGAACTGATATTTGGTGGTTCTGATCCGAGGTTTCGTATAGGTCCGTTTACGTATGTCGATGTTTCTAAAAAAGGATATTGGCAATTTACCATGGATAAGTACGTTATTATTTTTTCAGTTACATATAATGTCAGTTATATGCAGATAAATATTAATGCTATCCTGCTATAGGGTTAAAATGGAAGATCAGATTTTATGCGCAAATAGCTGTGAAGCTGTTGTCGATACAGGCACTACCCTAATAATTGGGCCACCAACAGATATCACAATTATCAATGAACGGATAGGAGCTATATATTATACTAATTATTCGACGGAAGTTTATGTAAATAATGACACTTATTACAGTCCTTTTTTAATATTAAATTTAATAAATTGTATTAAAATATATATTAATAGAAATTTGTTATGTTATTCACTACACTATATAATATGATTTACTAATACTAAGTTTTACTTAAAGATGGATTGCGACAAAACTTCTAATTTGCCTGATATCGACTTTATCGTAGGTGGTTTTAAAAAACTCAGACTCTCTAGTGATGATTATATTGTTAGGGTAAATATTTTTCCAAATGACGATTTAAATTTTCTTAGAATCGAAATGTCATGCCGTATTTAATTTGTTGTAGCATAAGCTAAACAATGTGACGGTGTGTATGAGCGCCTTCGAGAGTGACCCTCCGGATGACGACGGTCAATTTTTCTGGACTTTAGGCGATGTATTTCTACGTCGGTATTATACCGAGTTCGATATGCTGCATGATCGGATAGGATTCGCTTGTGCAAAATAAGAAATTCATTTCTCTTCAGGTTTTTACAGATAAATATTGGAATATCTAAACTACAATAATAGGCGAATTGTTAAGATTAAGTTTCTGGAACAATAATTCTTATATGTTTATTATTTTATGAGCCTTATTTGTGATTATCTATGAGGTATACATTTTTAGATAAATATGTATGTGATATTTTATTACAGAAATGTATATATAATATTACTTTATTAACGATTTAGTACAATCTATTCGTTTATCATAATATTGTATTACGACATAATATTATGCTTTTAACGAAATCTATTATAATAAATATACATTCTTGTCATATATTATGAGTATGTTGATTTTATATACCGATCTTTCAATTTTTCTTAAATATGATAATTCAAAAAGTACTAATTCATATATATATTATATAATAAATATTTAACTTTTAGATAAACATAATTTTTAACGTTTTTATTATAAATATTATAAATTCGTATTTAAACATATTACAAGTATAAGGAACTATTTCAAATAGTACTGAATAAATTACGACGAAAAAAGATAGTAATCGCACCGATACATATAAGAACTGCAATTTTTGAGCACTAAGATTGCTTTTAAGTTACAGAAATTGATCTTAATACCAATGTGCAGTGCCAATGTCTAGCTCAATAATAATAAAAGGATATGGCTAGAGCAGTAATTGTTAAACATTTCGCGAAATATGTCCTTTATTTAGCATTTTCTAATTTTTCTCGCCAGAATCAACTTTTAAAAGAAAGAGTTTAATATTTCATGTAAATCGCACATAAAATTGATTTCTCAAATCATAATTAATATTTTCGGAATTTTGTCATTTATTCTAATTTATATATATATATTTTTCCGTTTATTTTTATTTTTATTCAGTTTTCAGATCTAGAAACAAATTGATCACAATTAGTTTTACTATGAAGACTATAAGTGTAAGTATATTCCATTATAAGAAAGTGAAAGCTAAATAAAAACCTGTTTCAACAATTTTATCATAATACCTCTTTTGCGATTTTTTTATATACCTCTGCGAAAATGTCTCGAAATATAAAAATTGAACCAATCTAATGTCATCTGTTGAATAATGTCTTTCGTTCGTTGGTATAATAGTCACAATCTTTTCGAGTGACATACGATTCTGTCTATTTCATTGTCGTCGATTTAATAAGATTTTAATATATTTATTTTTATAGTCTTGTATTGGTATGCCCTATACATATAGCGTTTGTTGAATTCTCAACGAATTCCTTGCATTTTTTATACATGACTGCCATGTATAACGCAATTCTTTATGGGATCGTTTAGCAACCGTTTTAATTGATTCAATTCAATATATTTTGTAATAGGATCTTTGAGTACATTTCATCTCATAGTCCTTCAAAAAATGACTTTAACCCTTAGCTGCCACACCTCAGCCCGGCCACGTTGCTGCCACACCGGGGTGACTTCTCACCCCACGTGAAAAAATGAGTTGTAAAATACGTATGAGTGTTTTAAGACTTTTAATCGATTGGGTCATGTTTATTGAACATATATTTAACATTTCTAATGATTTATATTAATAAATTTATAGATGGCGCTTTAAAAAGTGGTCATATATGTGAAAATTTTTCGGCTTCCTATGTAGTAAAGTCACATCTCACAACTGTCTACTAATGAAAGATGTCGATATTTGTATGAATTTCAACGATTTTAGACCTCTAATTTCACTTTTCCCGAGCCTGGGGTGACAAGTCACCCCGTGTGGCAGCTAAGGGTTAATGAAATCTATATTTTTGCATACTTTTGTCGTTTCCTAAAGGAAATGTCATTGCCAATAAAAATTAAATGTATTTACATATATATATGTATATTATATTATTATGTATGATATGTTATATATTATATACGTATATTATATATTATCAGTTTTTATTTTAGACAAGGATATACTTTATAAAGGGCATACTTTATAATTAGAAGCATAATTTATTATTCGTATATTTTAAATATTTTTAATAATATTGCAATGTTTAAACACCATGTTTTATTTATTCATAGTAATATTTTATAATTCTGCTCATAATATATATAAGAAGAAAAAATAACAATAAAGATATTTTCAAATCTAAAATATTTTAGGTTATAAACTTTTTATTTTATTTCGTATCTTTTACTTAATTACATTTCAATATCTTACCGATTATCGAGAACTTAAGTTCTTGCAGTAGAAAGTCCCAGATTGTAGAAAATATAATATAGAACACTTTAAAGAATTTAAAAACATTCTTAATAATGAGAGAGAGAGAGAGAGAGAGAGGGGGGAGAGAGGGAGAGGGAGAGAGGGAGGGAGGGAGGGAGAGAGAGGGGGGGGGGATCTTAAGAAATTTTCTTTGAATTTTGAAATATTTCGCTGCAGTGTATAAATATTCAACTTTAATAGTATTATAACATCGATTATTTATATTAATCGTTTTACCTACTTAAATCAAATATTATACGTTTATATTTAATATTTCTTTAAATTAAATATTTATTTGCAATATTTACTTATTGTTAGTTAGTACTATTTAAGAAAATACTACTTAGATTTTTAGCAAATAATAGAATCTTTTAAGCTTTTGGCCTTGCTTATTATTGTTTGTTCGTTTTTTAGGATACTTTTTAGTGCAGAAATTGATTTTAATGCAACATAAATTTGTAGCCTATATCTTGATAGTAGTAAAAGAAAATATTATAGTTAGAACAATAATAATTAACCGTTGCGTTGGATATACAACTTACATAGCATTTTCTTATCATTTTCTCAACAATTAAATTCCTTACATTTCTTGTATATGACCGTAACATAACAAAATTTCACTGGGGGATCGTTTAGCATCCATTTTAATTGATTCGATTTAGTATACTATATTATTACATTATTAATAATTATTACATTGATGATTATACGCGATAATTATTTTCCTATATTTATACTAGACGTATTGTGTACTACCCAATTTTTTCGAATATGAAACGAGTGTTTTACCACCGTTAGACTACTCCATCCGTCATGATTGTGCAAAAAAAAAAAGAAGCATTATGCGCTATGCAAGTTCGCATCTTCGCACAGCCACTTTGGTTGCTTTTAAAGTAAGCTTCACAGTTTACATTATTCCTTGCATATTTTTATCAACAAGTTCTTCGGTAATATTGTAATAGATATTCGAAGAAGTTCCTTTAATCGATTTTGTGTTTACAATATAAAAGGGCTTAGTTTGAGACTTTTCGGTCTATCAGGGTTGATAAAAGAAAATATTTAAAAAAACATAACAATATATTTTTTAAAAATATATTTTTATATTAACATTATAATAATTTAATGTCTTGAACACGTTTTAAATAGTATTAAAAGAAATATGTTTAAAATTATATATATATATATATATATATGCCTAGTCGACACAAATTAAAAGTAACATAACGTCAATAGCTATTATGTAACGCCATGAATATTAAATTTATAGAATTCAAAATTATAACGTTGATGTTATGTTACTTTCAGTTTGTATTGATCCTTTACCAGCCCTACTGTTTACAAAGCTTTTGATCAGATAACTACAAATGTAGATTAGTCGATAAATTATATACAATTTTATGTTAATATAATACAATTATTTATTAATTATGATTATAATTATTATAAATCAGGAAATTAATTAAATTTAATAAATTATTAACAATGGTATAAAAGTTAATGTAATACATTAAATTTAAAATTTATCATTGAATATATTATGTTTAGCTCATTTAAAAATTAAATTATTAATACTGAATTGTATTATACGACATTGTAATTACGTATTACTTATATTGTATATGAAACAAGAGTTCATTTTCTTTTACAACCATTATTGAAATTACATATCTTCTATTGTGTCATATTTGATCGCGATAAATTTTAGATCGTTTAGCTCTATTCGAGAAACAGTCTGAAATCGAGTTCGTGTAGAGAGCGAACGGTGGCAGCCAAGGTGCGATTTTATTTCGAATAATGTAATAGATGGGCGGGCGAGTGGACAGGGCGGCGTATTCCGAAATTGGCGAAGCAATCGTATGCTGTTGGTACCGAGCAATGCACAAGTAATCTGACTAATTGCGTTGACTATGCGTTTATAACGACGACGTGACACGACACGTGTACTACATGGATCTCACGTACGACGGCGAGGATAGAAACAAAAAGAGATCTCCTCCACTCTCCATCCCCCTTTACGAAATATCATTTATCAGCTCATCGTAGTTTCCAATGCGTGTCATACGCGGCTTAATCGCCATTGAAACGAACTGAAGTCGATTTCTTTATTATAGTTCTCTTTTTTTAAATGTTTATTATAACATTTGTAACATCGCTTATAGAAATCTACTCTTCCAAGCAATTTACGCAATAGACACCATTTCTAATTGGCATTATGATGCCTCATCTACATAATTCGCAAATCGCAAAACATGGTTCGCGAATACCATGATCGCAGAATGACGATCGTCGCACGCAGATGATGAAAATTAACTGCACGCAATATAAAAACAAATGCAAATCTTCATTCTGCGTCTGCCTTTATGAACTACTTTTTACGATTTTCAAATTATGTAGAAGCACCGTTACAACTATGCGACATACACGTGATATACATAAATACATACGTGATATATATAAATACATACATATATTTTTTAAATTCTTTGGAGTGGAATCTTACTCTAAAGAGTTGAGTCTTAAAAAAGAGTGACTCAATTTTCAACTTTTAAGAGATAGATTTCATTCCTTAGAATGACAATTTACTCTAAACGTTTTAACTTAAAAGAGTATTAGACATTTTATTAACCATTATTTAAAGTTTTAACTCAAAAATTGATTTATAGCATTTGCTGTAAATTATCTTTTGTTTCAAAAACTCTTCAAATTTTTTTTAATCGGCGGGGAAATACATTATGCAGCCACGGAGGAGAACCGTGGTATGTAAGATTCTCACTCAATAAAACCCCACGTCCTACTCAGGTCCTAGCCAGGGGATCTTCGGGAACGTGTGCAGCATACTTCCGGAGGACCCCTGAACTTTTTAAATTTATGTACAATGCCAATAATCAATAGATAGCAATGTAGATAAAAGAATTATAGATAAATAAAAAAAATATATAGATGTCTAATATTTTTGGCCGAGATATATATCCTTAGATTTAGCATTATTACTATTATGTTCTAATTAATTATTATTAATTATTTTGATTATTATATTATATATTATGTTTAAGATTCTTATTAATTATTATTATTATTATTATCATTGTGTATATGGTATAAATTGTAAAAAGGAACGTATTTACTTTATCATATTTATTTTACGGGCCATTTCACCGGATGAACAAATTGTTTAAACTAAAATGAAGGAATAAATAAAATATTGACCAAATTAAGGGTGGAGTTTATTCTCTGCCGACCTATCCCTTATTCATTAATTCCTCTATTATCCCATTTACAAGTATATGCAACCTATTATTACATTGATAGATAAGACCTTTCAAATCTGTGTTTCTTTTGAGAAGTTCATATATCATACATTGATATTGATATTTTAACAACAACCACTATAACATACTTTAATTATATATATGTATATAATTATACATATGTATATCATTATAGTGATTTTAGTTTACCAATTGATATGCATATATACAAAATTTGTTGCCAATGCTTTTTTATAAACGTTATAAAGTTAAAATCGTCATTTTTGTCTCTGTTATTTTTCTCAAAATTGTGACAAATACGAAAATAGACAAATGTGAATAATGAATTTGAGTTTAATGCTCAAAAATATATCAAAAATTGAAATAATTAAAAAAGTTTTTTTTAGTACACACTAGTAATAAGCAACGTCAACGAACACATTAGAATGGAAATGCCGAAACAGCATTTTCAGTTGAAAACTGAAGAATATGATATAGAAGGTAAACGATCAATCATCTATGTCATCTGATATATATTTCTTTCGTTATCCACTTTTTCGTAAATAAATATTCTAAATTTAATGAAATATCTTGTGTATAACTTAAGTATCTACTGCACTTATGGTATACGAATATTATTGATGTTTTATGAACGCGTCATTAATATATCTTTAATTAAGAATATATACATATAATTTATTGGTCTGTATTATACATATTTATAATAATATTTTACTAGTTTTTAATAATTTCAATTTAAAGGTAATGTTTTAAATGTAACCTATTACAATCTTACATACAATATAAATATAAAAAATCAAATTCTAAAAATTATTTTACTTTGTTTCTAGTTGCATTTAGACCTTGCTGGTTTTTGAAAATTAAATTTTTGCAATTTAAAATCTCGAATTTTTGGGAATTAAAAAATTTTTTATTAATATTTCAAAACATTCTTATTAGAAATAAAAGTATTTTAGGATTTCGATCCGCTACAATATACGATTCAACTTTAATGTAAAAGTATCATATTAATGTTTATATCATTTAAACCATTTTATCAAAGTCAACAATGTTTTCCTTTGAAGATTAATTTTGTTTCTTTTGTTAATTAATCATCGAATTTATAATATTTAAATTTATCATATCGTATCAATAAGAATTATAAGTCATATATCTAATAATTATAAGCGAAATATGAGTATATGAGAAATTAAAAAAAAAATTATTAAAGATTAGATTAAACTGTGGATACTGTTTTTAGAACATGTCACACGATCGTTCTTTCCAGCTTATAAACACAGGCATATGTATAAAAGCTTGTGTATAAACATCATTCGGAGTACTAATTTGAAAGAGATTGTCCTTTTTCTATTGTGAGTTTGGATTGCACATAAAAATTGGAATTATATTATCTTTAAAATCTTGATTCGTGTATCTTTATAATTATATTTGAAATACAGATATTCGGAAAATGTTTCGATATTTCGTGGTGATAGCGGCATTCGTCGTACTCAACACCAATGGTTTCTTGACAAAGTGAGCATGTATAAACGTTGGTTTGCGATATCTAAATATTTATCAACGATAATTAGGGCAAATTGCTATAAAAATGTACTGTATTTGTTAGAAATGGAAAAGCTTAAGTATATCTTTACAAATAGAGAAATATTATATATATCACTAATAGTTCACTTTATTCGGCATATTTCGTGGGGATGTCCTTAAAAGATTCAAAGGACATACGAATGTCCTCTGGACGTCATAAGGATGTTTTTTTATATCCTGGAGGTCTGTGCTGTCGGAGACAAATTTTTCGAATATGCAATGCTTCAACAATTATTTGTATAGATATAGCTTAAAGTTTATACCAGAAGGTTTGCGGGTTATCACCGTGTCTTTCTTCATTGTTAATGGCAACGTTTCGTGAACGGTACGGTTCACAAAACGTTGGCATTAACAATGAAGAAAGACACTGTAATAACCCGCAAACCTTCTGGTTTAATTGAAGTATATACGCGTGAAAGCCTCAAAAGCGTTATAGCTTAAGGTTTCTTTTGAAGTTTGTAATTTTCTGTATTTTCTTCGTAATGGTTTAGTTTAGATGATAAGAACAAAAAAATTGATATTTAAAGTAACTAAACAGTATTTGCTGCAAAATTGATAAATGTGGATAGCATTTATTTCTTATGTAAATATATATCAACATAATGTTGAAGCTTTGATAGTTTTCAAAAATAAAACGTATATTTGCATATGATTAATCAATTCGAATTATACGATATTGGTATATTGGCTTATATATGTATGACACATGTATATAAACATATACAAAATATAATATGGAATTTTCTTTATATTATTTCAAGGATTCTTTTGCATAAGACAACTTCTTTGCGAAGAGCGATTGATATCAAAACTCGACAGCGTCGTGATGATTTTGATAATTTTGTAAGGCTACCTTTGCTTCGTGATCGGGATTCTGCGTACTATGGTAATATTACAATTGGAACTCCACCGCAGGAGTTTAAGGTAATGATAGATATTTGTTCCGCAAATCTCTGGGTACCATCCATAAATTGTCATGTCACCAACAGAGCTTGCAGTAAGTCATATATATCATTTATATATATAACATTTTGCTTTATCTTCAATATTTCATTATTTGTAAATGTATATTTATATGTAATAATATTATATTATATTGCACACAAAAATCATTTTGCTATTTTCATTTTAATAATTGACGTAGAAAAATTATTTATAAAATTTGTAATATAACTGGTTTACGTTTACGTATTATATTTTACAGAGAAACATAATACATATAATTCCTCAAAATCTAGCACATTTATAGAAAATGAAAGAGAGCTCGAAATTAGCTATGCTTCTGGTGCTGTTGGCGGATGCTTTTCTACTGATGTAGTGAATGTGAATTATCATCAAGCAAATATTTCTATTTAGTCTCAATCATAAATTAAATATAAAATTGTTCTAAAGAAACACATTACATTTTTTATAGATTGCTGGTTTTGATGTTCAAAATCAAACATTCGGGGAAGCAATAAATCAGTACGGAAGTTTTTTCGAAATTGCAAAATACGACGGAATCATGGGACTGAGTTATCCAAACATATCTATTGAAGGAGAGACGCCACTTTTTACCAACTTAGTTAAACAACATAGAATAATGTCAATTTTTAGTTTCTATATTAATCGGCATGTATCTTTTTGTATGCATTATATTTTTTTCCTTTAAATAGTTTGATTTCCCATACTCAAACTTTTCATATTAAACAATATACAATTTATATAGAGATTCAAATATTAAATGGGATGGTGAACTGACATTTGGTGGTTCTGATCCGGCGTTTCATATAGGTCCGTTTACGTATGTCGGTGTTTCTAAAAAAGGATATTGGCAATTTACCATGGATAAGTACGTTATTATTTTTTCAGTTACATATAATGTCAGTTATATGCCAGATAAATATTAATGCTATCCTACTGTAGGATTAAAATAGGAGATCAGATTTTATGCGAAAATAAAAGCTGTGAAGCTGTTGTCGACACAAGCACTACCCTGATAATTGGACCACCAACAGATATCATAATTATCAATAAACGGATAGGAGCTAATTATACTAATAATACGATGGGAATTTTTGTAAATAATGACACTTACTACAGTTCTTTTTTAATATTAAATTTAATAAATTATATTAAAATATATATTAATAGAAATTTGTTATGTTATTCATTACACTATATAATATGATTTACAAATACTAAGTTTTACTTAAAGGTGGATTGCAACAGGACTTCTAATTTGCCTGATATTGATTTCATCGTAGGAGGTTATAGAAAACTCAAACTCTCTAGTGATGATTATATTGTTAGGGTAAATATTTTTTCAAATGACGATTTAAATTTTCTTAGAATCGAAATGTCATGCCGTATTTGATTTGTTGTAGCAAAAGGAAAACAATGTGACGACGTGTATGAGCGCCTTCAAGAGTAATGAGCCTCCGGATTACGCCGGTCAAAAATTGTGGTCTTTAGGCGATGTATTTCTACGTCGGTATTATACGGAGTTCGATATGCTGAATGATAGGATAGGATTTGCTTGTGCAAAATAAGAAATTCATTTCTCTTCAGGTTTTTACAGATAAATATTGGAATATCTAAACTACAATAATAGGCGAATTGTTAAGATAAAGTTTATGTAGCAATAATTCTTACATTTTTATTATTTTATGAGTCTTATTTGTGATTGTCTATGAGATATACATTTTTAGATAAATATGTATGTGATATTTTATTACAGAAATGTGTATATAATATTATTTTTATTAACAATTTAGTACAATCTATTCGTTTATCATAATATTGTATTACGACATGATATTATGCTTGTAACGAAATCTATTATAATAAATGCACATTCTTGTCATATATTATGAGTATGTTGATTTTATATACCGATCTTTCAATTTTTCTTAAATATGATAATTCAAAAAGTACTAATTCATATATATATAATAAATATTTAACTTTTAGATAAACATAATTTTTAACGTTTTTATTATAAATATTATAAATTCGTATTTAAACATATTACAAGTATAAGGAACTATTTCAAATAGTACTGAATAAATTACGACGAAAAAAGATAGTAATCGCACCGATACATATAAGAACTGCAATTTTTGAGCACTAAGATTGCTTTTAAGTTACAGAAATTGATCTTAATACCAATGTGCAGTTCCAATGTCTAGCTCAATAATAATGAAAGCATACGGCAAGAGCAGTAATTGTTAAACATTTCGCGAAATATGTCCTTTATTTAGCATTTTCTAATTTTTCTCGCCAGAATCAACTTTTAAAAGAAAGGGTTTAATATTTCATGTAAATCGCACATAAAATTGATTTCTCAAATCATAATTAATATTTTCGGAATTTTGTCATTTATTCTAATTTATATATATATATTTTTCCGTTTATTTTTATTTTTATTCAGTTTTCAGATCTAGAAACAAATTGATCACAATTAGTTTTACTATGAAGACTATAAGTGTAAGTATATTCCGTTATAAGAAAGTGAAAACTAAATAAAAACCTGTTTCAACAATTTTATCATAATACCTTTTTTGCGATTTTTTTATCTACCTCTGCGAAAATGTCTCGAAATTTAAAAATTGAACTAATCTAATGTCATCTGTTGAATAATGTCTTTCGTTCGTTGGTATAATAGTCGCAATCTTCTCGAGTGACATACTATTCTGTTTATTTCATTGTCGTCGATTTAATATAAGATTTTAATATATTTATTTTTATGGTCTTGAATTGGTATGCCCTATATAGCGTTTGTTGAATTCTCAACGAATTCCTTGCATTTTTCATACGTGACTGCCATGTATAACGCAATTCATTATACGATCGTTTAGCAACCGTTTTAATTGATTCAATTCAATATATTTTGAGTACATTTAATAGGACCATTGAGTACATTTCATCTCATAGTCCTTCAAAAATAACTATAATGAAATCTATATTTTTCCTTACTTTTGTCGTTTCTTAAAGAAAATGTCATTGTCACATACTGCAAATTCAACAAAATATCGTGGGTGTATGATTTAAAAATTAAATATATTTACATATGTATGTATATTATAAGGTAAATGTATCGGTTATTGGACAGTTAAGGAATTGCACGACGAAATCATTTATTGAAACTTTAGAAACATTAAAATTTTAGTTTATTACACATGCTTAATAAGAATGGATGTTTTCTGAAACTAAATCCATTATCAAATATGTTATTTGCGTTTATTATAAATTGTATTTAGTCATAAATATAATATGATTCAAATGTCCTAATTATTGGACAAAAAATGTGACGTGTCTCTGTGTCCACAAAAGTATGACTCAATTATAGGACAAATAATAAGCAATTTTCTTATTATAGAAGAGAATTGCATTTTACGTACTTATCAAAAGATTGTTCAAAAAAGTTTATCGAAATTGTAATTAGTAAAGTTTTATATAAAATTTTATATGTAATATATACAAAATATTTTTGCAGTAGACAAGTACGCTAAGGAATGTTCAATAAT